AAGCGTGCAAAAAACACACACACACACACCATTCTCAAGACTTCAACGCCACGAGTCAACCTGACTGTTGCGTCTTGGCGCCTGAACCGTGCCAGAATGCCATCCCTGGGATTTCAACACCGCGAATCAACGTATCTGATGCGCCCTGCCAATGCTGAGTCGCTCAAAGCACCATTTCTGATACGTTAGACATGAAACCAAGGAAACATGTGCATTTGTTTGAAGCAAATGTGCGCGGCGCTATACTGAGAGCCACAATTTGGAAAGGAACAGCCTTCAATCCGTGAAATATCTGGAAATCTATAAAACGAATGCGCGCGGCGCTAAGGCGAGAGCCACAGTTTGAAAACCACCCGCCCTCAATCCGTGAAACTCTTGCAGCTTGTTTAAACGAATGCGCGCGGCGCCCAGGCGAGAGCCACAACTTGAAAACGACCCGCCCTCAACGCATGAAACTCTTGCAACTGTTAGAATCGAATGTGCGCGGCGCTAAAGCAAGAGCCTCGACTTGAAAACCGCCTGCCCTCCACCCGAGAAACTCTTACTTGCAGATGTTTAAAACGAATGCGCGCGGCGCTTAGGCGAGAACCACATTTTCAAAACCACCCGCCCTCCGTTTGTGAAACTGCTGCCAAGTTTCTGAGCTCAGGTTCATAAGAGGTAAGGGAATCCCAAGCGACACGCCCGGCCCGCCCTTCTGACCGGCCTCGGGGGTGCGACAGGGAGGAGCTGCTCATAAGGAGAAGGAGTGGAGAGCAGCAGCAGCAGCAGCAGCTGGAGAGGACGGGGCGCTCGACCGCCCGCCCGCTCCTCATTTTGGCGCAGCCCCGAGGGGCGCGGCGCGTGGGTCTGCCGCCGTCCGCCGCGTGCCGCGGCGGACGGGCGCGCGCTCACGCGCGCGTTTGCGCGCCAGCAGTCCGCGAGGACGAGGAAGAGCACGGGGAGGAGGACGAGCACGACGAGGACGAGGACGAGGAGGGCGAGCAGGAGGAGGACGAGCACGACGAGGACGACGAGGACGATGTGGACGAGAAAGACGGGGCCGGGTACGAGGACGGGCGCGAGGGCGGGCACGAGGGGACGCTCGCGAGGAGGGCGAGCAAATGATTCGGCGGGCCGTCGGCGGGCGCAGAGGCCCTCTCGGCCAGTGGGCCGAGGCCAGGCACAGCCTCGGTGCAACCCCAAAGGGGGCCCGCGCAGAGAGCACCTTGACGCCACCACCACGCCTGGCCAGTGCTGGAAGACTGGTTTTTAGTCCAAACCGAGCCGCAGCGGTGCAGTGCACCCGAACCGTTGCAGTGCATAGATAGTGGTAGATGGATGGATCACATATAGAAGGCAATGCATCTGTACATGTATACACAATATGTATGTATATATATGTGTGTATATATATACACCGATACGCATACCTATACACATATATGTGTATATATATATATATATATATACATACACAGATTCGAAAGGTTTACGCCGTTCCGCCGACCCCCAGAAGAGGGGTGAAGTCAACGGGTGAAGCCTTTTGGGGCCTCTTGGGAACCCTCTGGGGCCCTCCGGCCTCTTGGGGTGCCTCTTCGGGCCTCTTGGAAGTTTCTTGGGCGCCCGCTGGCGGTTCCGGGGACCCTCTTGGGGCGGAGGGCTCGTAATGTCAGTTCGAGTTACCTCTTGGGCTCCTCTGGGGGCCCTGTTTGGGCTCTCTTTTTGTTTTCGGGCCCTCTTGGGGCTCTCTTGGGCCATCTTGGGCGCCTCTTGGGGCCCTCTTCGGCCGTCTTGGGTCTCTCTTGGGCGTCGAAATCAAAAATGCGAATTTGTTCAAATTACACGTTTTCCCTTTGGATTCGGACGATTTTTGCATCTTGGGGCCCTCTCGGGGGTCGTCTTAGAGCCCTCTCGGGGTGTCTTTGAGGCCTCTTGGGCAGTCTTGAGGATATTTTGCTCGTCTTCGAGGACTCCCGTGCGTGTTGGAACCCTGCTTGAGCAAGCATGGATCGATTCTGAGGCCAGGGTGTAGAAATGGAGGTTCTGGAGGCACCAGGGGAGCGTTGGTGACCTCGTTGGACCCCCCCCCCGCCCCCACCCCCCTAATCGGATTTCAGAACCCAGAGGAGGGGGAAAGGGGGGGGCAGCCAATCAACTCACATCAACTCACACGCCTTTGCACCCCCGACAAGCGGGCGTCGGCTGATGTATATATATATATATATGTGTGTACATGTATATGTGCATACATACAACCATGTACGTAAATGTATAAAACTGCTACCTATAAATCTATATATATATATATAACATATACATATACATGCATACTTCCATACATGCGTGCATATCTACCTACATGCATGCATACCTACGTACACGCATGCATGCGTGCATGCATGCACACGTAAATGCGAACCTATATATAATATATATATATATATATATATATATATATAGCTATACAAACAGAGATACATACCTCAAATGCATGCCTGCATACCTACATGCATGCAGACATCCATAAATGCATGCATACATACAGACCTACAGATGTGCACATATGTAGATGCATATATAAATGCAGGCATACATGCATATATGCATCATAGCATACATATGTAGATGCATACATACATGCATACATGTATACACAAATGCACGCGTGCATAACATTACCGGCATGCATACAGACATGCATGCATGCATGCATGCATACGTACAGGCACATACGTACAACGATACATGCATATACATGCATACGTACATGTATACATACGTACATATCTGCAAACCAGCAAACAAGCGAACAAACATATATATATATGCTTGCATACACCAATACGTGCATACATATATATATGTATATATGTGCATATATATATATATATATACATACATGCATGCACGCATACATACATACATACAGACATACATACATTGTGTATGCATGCATGTATATATATATACGTACAAACAAACATACATACATGCATACATGCATGCATACATACATACACACCTACATACATGCATACACATATATATATATATATATATACATACACAGCTACTAAATACAAACAGACCAACGAACAAGCAAACACACACCTAAATAAATATACATACATGCATGCATGTATACATACATGCTCATATGCATCCATACATACATACACATGTGTATGCACGTGTATTTGTATACATGTAGTACTCCCCACACACACACACACCAAACAACAATACTGATATCTTCAAAAGAGACCTGTAGATATGTGTTTGCCAAAGTCGGCTGGCCATCTAGCCAAGAAGGCCCCAAGTTCGGAAGCTGTTGGCATTCTCGCCGTTTTGGCTTCCCGACGCTCCAAGAAGGCCCACGAGGCCTCCAAGACCGCCCCAAGACAGCCCAAGAGGCCGCCAAGACGCCCCCAAGACGGCCAAAGTGAGACAGCCCAAGTCTCGCCCCAGACGGCCCAAGAATGCCCCAAGACGGCCCCAAAAGGGGCCCAAGAGAGGGAACACGAACCGAAAATCCGAGCCTTCCGCCCCAAGAGGCCCCCAGGAGGCCCCAAGAGACGCCCAGGAGGCCCCCAGAGGCCCCCAAGAGGCCCCCAAAAGGCCCCCAGGAGGCCCCCCAGAGGCCCGCAAGAGACCCCCAAGAGGCCCCCAAAAGCACAAAGGAGGCCCCAAAGGGCCCAGAACGGCCCCCAAGAGCTCCCGAGAGGCCCCCCACGAGATCCCAACGAACATCCAACAGACTTCATACCCACAACCCAGGTACGTTGGCGGGATGTGCCGAAGGCCATTCCATCTGTATGTGTATGTGTATGTGCATGTGCATGTGCATGTGCATGTGCATGTGCATGTGCATGTGCATGTGCATGTGCGTGTGCATGTGCATGTGCATGTGCATGTGCATGTGCATGTACATGTGCATGTGCATGTGCATGTGCACGTGCACGTGCACGTACATGTGCATGTGCATGTGCATGTGCATGTGCATTTGCATGTGCATGTGCATGTGGATGTGGATGTGGATGTGGATGTGGATGTGTATGTGTGTATGTGTATGTGTATGTGTATGTGTATGTGTACGTGTACGTGTATGTGTGTGTGTGGTATGTGTATGTGTATGTGTGTATGTGTGTGTATGTGTATGTGTGTATGTGTATGTATGTATGCATGTATGCCTGTATGTATGTTTGGATGTGTGTATGTATGCATGTATGTATGTGCATGCATACAATTGTGCGCACATTCATGTATTTATACATACATGCATGCATACATACACATACACATACATGCATACATACATACAGACAGACAGACATATGTATAGTTGTGTATGTATGTCTATGTATATATGTGTATATATATACATATATATATATACACACCAGCACTGGCGACCCTGAGGCCCTGTAGCATGATGCGTCTGGGCCTCCCCTGGCCGAGACCGGGAGGAGAGAGATGCGCACCACCCCGGGGGGGCCCCATAGGGGCGGCCCTGGCCCGGCGCGGTGGCGGCGCGAACGGGTGCTCCCTGCGGATCGGCAGCCCACGAGGGGCCGGGGGCACGAGGCGGGGGAGCCTCCCGGGGGGGGCCCGCTGGGAGGGGCCACCAGCCCGGTTCCCATGATTCGTTAGCATGGAGGACGGAGAACTACGCACATGCACCGATTCTGGCCAGGCCCATCCTGAGCCCGGGATCGGTGCATACGCCTTCGTGGCCTGGCCAGGGAGGTATGTGCACCGATCCTGGGCCCAGGATGGGCCTGGCCAGGATCGGTGTATGTGCACAGTTCTCCTCGCCCGATACCTTGGATGTGCGAGTAGCGGGGGCCAAGCGGGCGCTCACGTGCCGAGGCGGGGGAGCGGGAGGGGTGGGGGGGGCAAGGAGCAGGGAGGGGAGGGAGGGGGGGCCCTGAGGACCTCGGGCTGCCGCCGACGACGACGACGACGACGACGCCGACGACGCCGACGCCGACGAGGACGACGAGGCCACGAGGACTACAAGGCAACGAGGCAACGAGGCAACGAGGCAACGAGGCAACGAGGCAACGAGGCAACGAGACAACGAGGGGCGAGGAAGCCAGGCGCACGCTCAGTGGTCCGGGCTGTCCTCCGAGTACCCCAGCCGCCTCACGGCCTCCCGGGCGCGACCTACAGCCCCTCGTCCATGCGCGCCCTCCTGCAGCCCTCTTACCAGCCTCGAACGTATCCCTATCCCTAAGATTGACACGCCAAAAGGCGATGACAATCTTAGGGATTCACCCCCAAAAAATAGGGAATCCCTAAGATTGGCATCGCGATGAGGAGCCGGGGCCGGGAGACGCCAGCTCTCCACCGACACCGGCCCTGACCAGGCCAACCCTGGGCCGGGGCTCCCTGGATGTGCCCTTCTGGGCACGGAAGGGCGCATCCGCCGATCCCTGGCACGCGCACCGCTTGCGCCCCCGGCTTGAGCTGCCTCGCGGCCTGCAGCAGACCAGCTCGAAGGGAGTGTCAGGTTGGCTTGGATCGCGAGGTGTCGGCATTCCCTGGAAGGCAACGTCCAGGCAGCTCGCTCCCCCATGGGGATCCAAGAATAAGACCAGGCCCTACCGTGTCGGCACTCTCCCAGGGCACGGCAAGCCGAGGAAAAAAGCAACCACCAGCTACAGCTCGAGGAGATACGGAAGGATCATCCAAGGGCCTCCAGAGCTTGAACGCGGGCACGATCCGAACGCCTCCTCGGGACCCCTACCCGGTTGCTGCGATTGCAGCCCGGGCCTTCCCACCATTCACCCTACTGCTGCCGCCGCTGCTGAGCATCTCCCTTGGCAAGGCTTAGGGTTGCGTACAGACACCCCACGCAGGTCATCAGTCCACGCTGGTCTCTACGAGGAGCGCCCAGAGGGCGCCGCCAGAGGCGGCGGAGGGGTGTTGAGACTGGGGCGATAAGACCGCCCCAGGCGACCCAGGGGCCCGCTAAGGCCAAGCTGTCTACCTCTGGGGGTCCTGCGCGCAAGCCCAAAAACCTGCCACGCTTCGGGGGTCTACTGACCCGGATCAATCCAAACCTGGGCCAGTCGGGCTTTGCAGGATCCTGCAAAATCCTGGAAAATCCTGCGCGCTGGCCCTGGTCACTGCACCCCCGCTCTGCGGGATCCTGCAAAATCCAACGCTCTGGCTGGCCCCCGTTTGCGGTGACCCCCGTCTCAAGGTTCCCGAACGCCTCTTCAAAAGTCAGCACCAACCGTGTCCACGGGAGCGCTCCAGGAGCCAAGCGGAAAGAACTCAAAAACGGCGCGGAAGCCACAAGGGCGCTGACACACCCTGCCTGCCGCCCGCGCGACATTCTGGCAGCAGCAGCAGCAAAACCAGCAGCAGCAGCAGCAGCAGCAGCAGGCGGACAGGGCTGGCAGCCTCGTGGTACAGGGTGGTCTCCTCGGGCACAAACTCATCGTCCTGTCTAGGGGACCCACTGGGACTGCAAATCCGGGGGAGGAAGGAGAGGAAGAGGAGGAGGAGGAGGAGGAGGAGGAGGAGGAGGAAGAGGAGGGACTTACAGACTCGGAAATATTTCTCCTTACGGCACAAAAACACCACACAAAAAAAAACGAATGACAAACGAAACCTTCCGCACCCGACCCCGTCCGCCTCGCCGGACATGTGGTCCAAACACTCCCCCGGTAAAATTCGAAACGGGCTCGCGCCAAGGGGGGGGGCCCTGGGTGGATCCACTCCTTGAATTAGAATTTTGATTAAGGAGGGTGGGTGGAGCTTGGTGTGGGCGATTCTGCTTGAGACGTCCTCAAAATCTGCCTGGTTTGGGCCCTGGTTTGGCCTGGTGTGGCTCGGTTGGGCTCCGCAAGCCGCTTGAGACGTCCTCCGAATTTGCTTGGTTTGGCCCCTGGTTTGGCCTTGGTTGGGCCTGGTTTTGCTTGAGACGTCCTTAGAATTTGCTTGGTTTGGCTTGGTTTGGGCCCGGTGTTGCCTGAAACGTCCTCAAAATTTGCATGGTTTGGCCCGGTTTCGCCTGAGACGTCCTTGCAATTTGCCTGGTTTGGCTTGGTTTGGACCTAATTTTGCCTGAGACGGTCTCGCAATTTGCCTGGTTTGGCCTGCTGGTTTGGGCCCGGTTTCGCCTGAGACGTCCTCGCAATATGCCTCGTTTGGGCTCGGTTTCGCTTGAGACGTCCATGCAATTTGCCTGGTTTGGCCTGGTTTGGGCCCGGTTTCGCCTGAGACGGTCTCGCAATTTTGCCTGGTTTGGCCTGGTTTGGGCCCGGTTTCGTCTGAGACGTCCTCGCAAATTGCCTGGTTTGGCCTGGTTTCGGTTCTTTTTTGCCTGAAACGTCCTTGCAATGTAGAAGATTTGGCCCTGATTTCCGCGAAGCTCTTGCAACGTCCCTGGAACACACATATTGGCCAACATTCCGCACTGTTATGCTACAGTATAACCGGGGCAGTGGGTGCGGACATCCGAAGCGCAGTGTGTTCGGCCAGCTACTGCACCACACAGTGCAACCATCGCTCGCACAAATCCTCCTGTTATGCGGCATTGGACCATGTGGCGGCGTAAAGACAAAATCTTTCCCAGCCTGTAAAGTTGCGGGGATTGGAAGCTTGACGGGAGAAAGCACTGCGGTAAGAAGACGTGGACAGCGACTTGTCACCTACCGAATACACGCTCAGTACGTGCCGGCGTTTAACCCAAACGGCAGAACAACATCATATTTGAGTCGGGCTTGCGCGGGCGATCGCGCGAAAAACTGCGGCGGCGCAATATGATTCATTCTCTGGCCATCCTGGCTGCCCCCGCGCACCTCGCGCACGCGCGCGCATGGGCAGACACGCGCGCGCACACACGCGCGCAGACACGCCCGCGCACCTCACACACGCGCGCGCACACACGCGCGCGCACACACACACGCACGCACGCACGCACGCACGCACGCACGCACGCACGCACGCACGCACGCACGCATGCACGCACGCACACACACACACACACACACCCACACACACTCACACACACACACACACACACACGCACACACGCACGCACACACGTCTGCGCATGCTGCACGCTTCTGCAGCGGAGGCCCCGACCAACAGCGGCGCCTGGACTGTCGCGCTGCAACGCGCAACCCAACCACGGCGCACACGACGACGACCCCCCCGAATAAGACGATGAGGAAGGGCACATGGTTTCGGGGAGATGGAGCACGAAACAATCCACATACTGGCGATTGATAGCTCAACGGCTGGAACTCCTGGCCTGATAGCAAACTGAGTTTGCCAGCCGCGTCGAGGGCGACAGCGCACGGCGCGCGCGACGGCTGGCGGGGGCCGCCAGGAACGTCGCGGAGCGCAGATCTGTCGATGCTGCCCTTGGCCAACCCGTCCGCGACCATGTCTCGCGCGCCCCCCCAGTTCGGGGCCGTTAACTGGCCAGAGCTACAGGGGGCCACGGAGCCCGAGCACGCGCGGCAACAGCGAATGTTCTGCCAGGGGCCTCGGCCTCGTAGACGCGACGGCCGTGGCCGCGCCCGTGGAATCCAGCCAGGATTAGATTTGCAGTGCTAGGGGCTGCTGGCCGCCTCGCCGGCGGCGCGCGCGCCGCTCCGGGGCCGCGCGGGCCCGTGGGCGCCGAGCGGAGCGCGGCGGCCCGAGCGAGGCCGCGATCGGCCGAACTGACGGCGGCCGCCTGCTCACTCGCGAAGGCGCTTCGCGTCGCCGTCTTGAGCGCCCCGCCCTGCCCGCCCGGCAGGCGGCGCGCTCGTCGACCAGCGAATGCCCCCTGGGCGCCCGCGTCTTGGGCGCCCATGCGCGGAAAGGTGGCTCCTCGGAGCGCTCGCCCCGCGTCGACGCCTTTTCGCTGTTCTTTTTTGTTCTGCAAGCTGCGTCACTGTGCACCTCCAAATTTCGCCTGCGCAGCACATCGGTGGATCCATAGCGGCGCGGCCTGGGCCCATCTCACAAGGGCGCCGAGCTTGCACGCACGGCCGCACGTCGATTGCACGTCGCCGGAGCGCGGCCACGTAGACGCGCAAGCCGATTCGAGCGACGAGGGCGAAGACAAAGGCCACTAGCAGACCGAGGCACCGCCTGGCCAGGTCCCCAGAGCCGAGTTCAGAATTGAACTCGCCAACAAGCTCGGCACTTCCGATTGGTTTCAGGGCCTGGTCCAGCTCATTTCACCCGTTGCGGCACGTCCCGCAACATGCGACGGCCCCCATCGCTGATGTCCAGCGCGCCCTTGCCAACGGCATCAGCTAAGCACTTACTCAACTTGACCTTCCCCATGAGGCAGCCCTGCTACTTTGAGGTCGTCAACGTGCTGGGTAGCGAGCAGCGCGAGCTCTCCATCTGCATGTTTGGCAATGAACCCGTCGTCGTACAATGTGAAAAGTGTTTGGTACATGTGTTTCGTGATTTTAGTGAGCTGGATGGAACAGCGTCTCGGTTCATCTTTGCACCCGGCACCTGGCTTCTCCATCTGGACGACCCCTAGTGCTGGATCGAAGTTCTCATACCCTTCTACATTTCGCAAGCTGCAACAGCCTCGGGGACGAGCTCGAAATTGGCATTGCGTTCTTCCTCACCCGTGGCTACCGGAAGTTCCTGGTAACTGGTTCCTTTTAAGACGGCTCGCGTGGCGCCCCACGCGTCGATCGCCCATCCTCGGCAGGCCGCCTCGGAGACAATCGCGCGCAGGGAGAATCGCGATGAGGTGCCGGCACATGCGGCGATGAGATCAGCGTCAGCGTTCTCGAAACCTCGGAGGGTCAGCCTCATGCGAATGATTCGCACTTTCTGCGCAGGGTTTGTCATACTCCGAGTCCACTTCCACGTGCCTACCCACCTGGAGTCAAGGATGTTGCGTGCTCCTCGGCGCGGGCGCCGTGAGAAACAGTTGCGGTCCAGCCAGACTTGCAGTTCCTCGAGCACCGCGGCTGCGACTGCTTACCGAAGGCCTGGAAGAACGCACGACGTCTTCCGCACTACGGACACGGTCCGCCGTGCA